TCTTTTCAATGGGGGGATACCTTCGAGTATTGCTGGTCTCACGGAATTGGAAACGTTAAATTTGAGCAACAATAAATTAAGCGGGGATTTGGAACAAGAATTAACACAGCTTCGCAACTTAACCTCTTTGAATTTAAGCAACAACAACTTTTCTGGAACATTCCCGATCATCGTTGCGGATTTCCCGGGATTAATTGAGTTGAACATGAGTGGTTGCAGGTTTTCCGGCGAGTTTCCGGCAGCCATATCAAAGCTGCGAAGTCTGAGTCTCCTTGATTTAAGTAAGCAGAGTTTCTCCGGTCAATTACCGGTTGATTTTTTTGGGTTGCCAAATCTGAAAGTCGTTGCTTTGGAAGAAAACAAATTTTCCGGCGACGTTCCTGAAGGTTTCAGCAGTTTGTCAAGTTTGGAGCATCTAAATCTCTCATCCAATTCCTTTTCCGGCCATATCCCACCGGAGTATGGCTTCCTTTCATCTCTCACATTTCTTTCTCTTTCCAACAATAGAATTACTAATTCCATTCCACCGGCGTTAGGGAATTCTTCTATTCTTCAAGTTCTAGACCTTGGTCGGAATCTTTTAACAGGTACAATTCCGGCGACTCTCTCCCAACTTTCTCATCTGAAAAACCTTGATCTTAGTCGCAACAGATTAACCGGTGAAATCCCAGAAAACATTTCAGAAATTTCTTCCCTCAATTCTTTGTTACTAAATTCAAATCATTTTTCCGGCCACATACCGGAATCACTCTCGAACCTCTCCAACTTAACAGAATTAGATCTCTCTTCCAACAATCTCACCGGAAAAATTCCAGCTTCTCTTTCCATGATTCCAAACCTGAAGCATTTGAATCTTTCCAGAAACGATCTTCAAGGTGAGATACCAAAGCCATTAAGTTCTCAATTTACAGATCCATCAGTGTTCGAATTCAACAACCGTTTATGCGGGAAGCCATTAGCGAAAAACTGCAAGAAAAAAATTTCTTCAAAAAAGAAGAAACTGATTCTCCTCATCTGTTTGGCGGCTGGTGGCGGTTTGTTTTTGTTACTTTCTTGTTGCGGATATGTCATTCTCCTCCTCCGGTGGCGGAGAAAGCTGTCAAAAATGGGAAAATCCGGCGAACTGAAGAAACCGAGCCCTGCCCGGGGAAGCTCGGGCAGAGATCATAGTAGTGGAGGCGAAAACGGGGCTCCAAAATTAATCTTCTTCAAGAATAGAATCACGTATTCCGATGCCCTCGAAGCAACAAGACAATTTGATGAAGAAAACGTGCTAAGCCGTGGAACATTCGGGCTTCTTTTCAAAGCCTCGTTTCCTGACGGAACCGTTCTTTCCATCCGTCGCCTTCCGGACACTTCCGCACCGGAATCCACATTCCGGAGAGAAGCGGAATCACTCGGGAAAGTCAGACACCGGAATCTGACTGTCCTCCGTGGGTATTTCGCAAGCCGATCCGATAACGTACGGTTACTCGTGTACGACTACATGCCAAACGGAAACCTAGCCACTTTACTCCAAGAGGCATCGCATCAAGATGGGCATGTTTTGAATTGGCCAATGAGACATTTAATCGCGTTGGGAATCGCTCGAGGGTTAGCTTTTGTGCATTCCATTCCGATGGTTCACGGAGACATCAAACCGCAAAATATTCTTTTTGATGCGGATTTTGAAGCACATATTTCCGATTTTGGGCTTAATAAGTTAACCGTGGCTACACAGGTCGAACCGTCAACGTCCACGACCGCAAGCCCGATTGGGACATTAGGTTATGTGGCCCCTGAGGCCACATTAACCGGCGAAACGACGAAAGAGTCTGATGTCTACAGTTATGGGGTTGTTCTGTTAGAGATTCTAACAGGTAAAAACCCCATAATGTTTAATCACGATGAGGACATCGTGAAGTGGGTGAAGAGGCAACTACAACGTGGACAAGTTTCTGAACTTTTGGAACCAGGACTTATTGAGCTTGACCCGGAGTCGTCTGAGTGGGAGGAGTTTTTGTTAGGTCTAAAGGTCGGCTTACTGTGTACAACAAATGAGCCGGCCGAGAGACCTGGAATGTCGGATGTGGTGTTTATGCTGGAAGGGTGTCGGGTCGGACCAGATATGCCATCGTCTGCCGACCCGACTTCCCTTCCTTCACCTATTTAAATAATTATGTTATTGAAATGAATTTTCACTTTTTATTACATGATTTGTATTTAATTTAATGTGTTGGTTTATGATGGGGACTTTGTTGGTGTTCTTTTGCTGATTTGGAGGGGGTCAAAGGAATAAAGAAAAAAAGTTAAAAGAATTGCCGCCAAATGATATATATAATTATAGATGGGATTGATTTTTTTAATTAAAATAAAATGGGGATATGATAATGAAAGTAGCCGTTAATGTGCATGAGGCGGAAGGTATGAGGGGGGTTTTTTATTGTTTTGGGAACTGATGAAAAAGGGCGCTTGGTTTCGTGAATTTGTCGGGGTTTGTGGGTCCACGTGGCACTCATCTACGACGGATTTCAGGGAGCGAATATGGTTGGTTAACTGCAGGGTGGATCCCACCACGTATAATATTCAGTAGATCATTGCAATTGCAATAAGTATCATTATTGTTATTATTATTATTTTTTTTTGGTGAATTCAATTATTTATTTCTGTAATTTTTATTTTATTTTATTTTTAGAAATGCTACTTTTGGTTGTTTTCATTTTTATTACCCGTGACCGTCAATGAGGGTTTCTGCCATCATGCCTGACTACCGGCTACCCCCTCCATTTGGCATTTCCTCGCCTTTTAATATACAATACATTGTGAGAGGAATCTTTTCATAATGTATGAGGGAAAACTACAAATTTTAGCCACTTTTTGATATATTAAAAATTATATTCAGTTTCTTAATATTCAAGTTTTATAAAATTTTATGGTAACCTATTAATCAATACTTAACTTTTGACACTATCATGTAGGTTAGTGATTTAAGGGGGTGTTTGGATTAGATTTTTAGCTTATTGCTTATAGCTTATTTGTGGTGGGAATAAGCAATAAACAATAAGCATGGGGAGAGATGCTTATTAAAATTAGCTTATTTAATCTAATAAAATGGATTTTATCCAAACACTAAAATTAGCTTATTATAGGAATAACCAATAAGCACATATTTTTTTCCTATCCAAACATCCCCTAAATACATGAGACATAGCCTTATGATTAGTTGGTTTTTGAAAGTTGGTCCGGATACCCTTGACCTCTTAAAAAAGTTCCTTTTCTGATTTTTTTTTTGTAATAAAAGTCTCATCTTGAACCAATATTACATGGTATAAATGATCAACAATATAAAATTTTGACACAACTTTGATTACAAATATTCCACTAAAACTTTTTAATTTTGACAAAACTTTCTATCTTGACCACTTTAATCTGTTTGTACCATGTCAAAATGGTCGAGGTAAAAAAATTGTCAAAGCTGGGTTGGCTTTAATTGTCAAAATTGAACTATAATGGTTAAACTACAAAATAACCAACATATAGTGAATTTGATGTATTTTACCATATTATTTTTTATTTTAGAACTGCCACCCTACACATCCTTTAAATCTTACTACTAAACTAAGAGAAAATACATATTTTCAAATATTTTGATACCGTTAGACAAATGTCTTTTAAATCTATAGAATTACATGTAGTCATCTGAAATATGTATACATTTTTTTCACATATTTGTTTTTTCACGGCTAGATGTCCTTTTAAGTGACCTTAAGCATCATAGAAAATTTCCCAACCTTATAGTGTTTTATTCCCTTACTCAGTTTAGAGAGATTATTGATAATAAATCTTGATAATTCTCATTTGGCTTATATATAACTGGTGGCTGATGTACTCTTTTACTACGATAATGGATTGTGTTGTTGACTCTTATTTGGTTTTTTGGTCGTTCCATAGTGGGGTGTCCACAATAATTTGAAAGCAAGATTATTTTTGTATTAAAACCACCTCATCAATGCAAGATTATTTTTATATTTGGAAATCCATATGCAAGTGTTATTCACGCGCCATGAATTGAAGAAGACAAACAAGTTGGCAGTCATGCCAATTGTGAAGCCCTCATAATATAAATGCTGGAAATCACAGCTCTTAATTGCTCGAAACATAAAATATATAAATTGAATTGTAACCCTTGATGGGTGTGCATATCAACTCTGTCTCTGACTATCATAATCGCTAGCTAGAATGGTTATATATACATGATAGCATTCACTGCCAAACGCAACTCATCATCAGAAATCGACTAAAGATTTTTGTTTCAGTTTTCTTCGTTATTTTTTTAGTATATGGCTTGTTATAATATTTTCCGAACATTTTGTGTCAAATGCTTGGTTTTGTTCTAATCTAGTTAAGGCTCCCATTCAGTGTAATCTTTCTATTATAAGGGCATTTTCAACCTTATTCCATATCTCGTTTTTTATAACACCAAATTTGGTATTATACTATTTATTTACATATTTTGGTGTCAAACTTTCACGTATCATTTTTAGTTATATTTATTTATTTATAGTTTATAACAAACGACTAGATATATTGTAAACGTAAAAACTTATAAATTATAATATTATTTTATATATTAAATTGATATTAATTAGTAATTTGAAAATAATTTGTTTATTTGTAATATGTTATTTAATAAAGTTATTACAACCAAAAGAGATTATAAAATTGACAATTTTTATAAATTATAAACAAAAAAATATACAACGATACATACTTTTCCGTGTATGTAAAAAATAGGGTTGGAATTGAAATATTATTTGCATTATTCTTGGTGTTAAAAGATAAAATTTGGTTGGAAATGATCTAATAGAATGTGATATAGATAACAAGAATCGCTCAAAATTAACATCACCCAACATAAGAACATAGTCAAAATAATCAATTTCAAAAAAAAAAAAAAAAAAAAAAGGATAGCCTTACGAAAGATTTGAAATATCTTTGGTGGTTGTGAATTGTTATATCCATGGAATTCAAAACGATTCAACCAGTCTATATTCATGTGAGTTAAGTCAGAATATATACAAATGCATTCAATTTTACCCAATCAGGTAAAAGGGTTTATATACAGTGAAAATATTCCAAGGCTACAAAAAAATCTCCATCTTTGTTTCAATTTTATATAAGAAAACAAAGCATTACCTAAACTTATAATAATTATAAAAATAATAATAATAAGACAAGTTTGAGAAGAAAATTAAATATAAAATTTTACTAGATGGAGATAACACCTTCAGCTAAAGGATAAGCATTAGGATCTGAAGTGAGAAACCTTCTGCAAGCATGTAACACAGCTGAGTGGAATCCATTTGCATTGTCCAAAAACACAAAATGACCAGCCTGAAACGACATCAACAAAACCATTTACAAAGGAATGGAATCGACAGGGTAACGGAATGAGTGATTCCATTCCGTGATAGAAAAGAAAAGAGAGTACACATACCTTTGGGACCCGAATAATATCACAGGGGACAGACATGTTCTTGCGTGCATCTATTGCCCCTTGGTAATTCATCCAGTCTTCAAATCCATATATGAAAGTTGTTGGCACTTTCCATTCCGCAGCTCTGTAATCCAAAAATGTAATTAATCCACCTCCTTATTTTAGAATTAAAGGGACCAAAAGTGTAATTCCGTAAAGTAAAAACTACAGGGACCAAAACTGTAATTAAGTCATTTCCAGACAATATATAAGTAACTGTAAATAGAGACAAATAATCACACCTTTCTAACAGAGGACTTCGAGCATATGCCCCAAATGAAAAGATGTATTTTAAACAAAGTTCTCCACTTCCTTTTGCAGCCAAAGTATGGTATATGTAATCTTCATAAAAACAACATCGATTATTACATAAAAAGTTAAATGGAGGAAATCAAAATTAATATTACATATAGTATAAAGAAAATCAATTACCTGTAAATAATATGGATTCTTTATCAGTCAACACATCTCCACTTGCATATTCACCAAATCTTGCACTTGTATACCTACGGACCAAATCTGGGCCCCACGGGCCTAAACCTCTGCATGATATTATAGTTTAATGTCCATATAACAAATAATAAGCAATTTAAAAGATTATATTACCTGAGAAGTTTCATTGGAGTAAAATTAGATTCCCATAAATGGCTCATAACAGCTCCTTTCCACGTTGCTCTGAATTTTGTAAGCCATTCAGATTTATGGTCAACTTCTGAGGTAAATCCAGCAGGGCCCACCAAAACCAGATGTTGTACATGCTCAGGATGCTTCATTTTGGTAAAAGTGTGAAGTCATTAGATTAATGTAATTTAGATTTGAGAAATGAAAGTTGTTTTTGTAATGTTTATCATCAGGAGAGTTACCTTCAAGGCGTATTTAGATACAACATATCCTCCAAAAGAATGCCCAAGTAAAATAAACTTATCAAGCTTTTTGGCTTTTCTCCATTCCTCAAGGGAATCAATGAACCAATCCTCAGTTTCTGCATTATCATTCAGAGATACAACCATTATATACTAAGGTTTTAGGGTTCAGTTATGATCATGATCAGAGTGTTACTTTGTTACATGGGAGCACTGAACAATCATTCTAGGGATGATTTTTATTATGAGGGCAATCACGTCTTTTGCATAGATAAGAACATATTGAACTCGAAAGCTAAGTGCAACTAACCTTGGGTACTTTTGCAAGTGAAGTCAGGTCTGCTTGATCCTCCCCAGCTGCTCAAGTAAAAGATAAAATATATTAAAAAAATATTATTGTGAAGGTGCAAAATGAAGTATTTGATGTGTTGTGTGTATAATGGAAAAGATGAGAAACACAACATATTGAACTCACCCAAGTTGATCCAGTGCAATCACCCTGAAATGTTTTGTGAGAGCATCAAAATTTCTGAAGAAAAAGCCCTGAGCAGCTGCATATCCATGAACCATAACAAGAGTTGGTGAATCCTCCTTGCTGTCAAAGGTAATAGTGTTGATAAATCTTGGTTCATTGCTGGAAGAACGAAACCATCTGATCTTTGACCCTGGTGGACCAGTGCCAATATTGACATTTTCTTGGGTGTATGAAGTCCTGGGATTTGAAACCAATAGATTATAGAAATGCCACTTTATGATTTTGATTGTATTGATATCAAATAAAAAGTAACAGATTGATATAGTCATCAAACTCGATTATGGAAAGTAACATGTGGAAGTTCATTCAAGTCACTTTGTCATGATGTTTTGTGTATCCATATGAATCTCTTAGTATTTGGGAAGTGTTTGATTTATTTGATAGAAAAATGCTGATTCAAAATTTCTAGTATCAAGTTTAAGCAATCGCAAGTCGAAGAGGTGTTATTGAGCAAAAAGCAAGTTCAAGTTTTTACAATTTTGCAATCTCAAGTTGCAGGTTCAACGTGGATGATTGATTGATTTCAAGTGTTTAGTTCAAATCAGTAACAACTGGATCGATCCTAGGGATAAAACATCTCATTTCATAAAAAACGCATATAACAAAGTATAATAAACATGATTTTTGAATAGGCTGTGTATTTCGATAGATTGAACAAGACAAGAAGCAAACAATCAGCGATACAATCATACAATGCAAATAAGGAAAGGTAAGGCGGTTGATAATTACTTGACAATAGACAGCAGGCGCTTTTCAGCGGCAATTATGTGATCGGTAGAGCTTGGTATCCAACGAAGAACAGAAGGCCATAACGACTTCTTCGTCCTTGGTGTCGCCGCCGGTGAGTCCATTTCCCCCGCCATAGTGTTTGCTGTGAAACTCGAAATTGAAATTGAAATTGAGCGAGTGATTGGAGGAATTTGTGGTGGGGGTTAAGTTAGATGAGAGGGCCGCCGACGGACTGGAGTCGTCAACTATGAATGGCGAAAACCTTGACCGGATTCCTTGTCCATCAAGAAAAACGACTTATTTGTTACATTTTGAAAAAATATATATTAACAAATACAATAGAGAAAATTCTGCTGATCGAGTAATCCCTGGAAATGGAACACCTATGTGGATATTGGGTTTTTAAATTTTTTTTTTTCGTTTATTACTATTAATATTTTTTTATCACATAAGTTATTATGTGATTATTCTGTAAAATTTTTGACAAAATAATGATAAAAATAATGAACTCACCATGGTATTGAAAAATATAGAAATGGCCTTCAATGCACCAACTTCTACGAATGCAAATATAGAAATTTGAAGATGAACTCATATTATAAATAAAAAAATGCAACTCTTTACGAAAATTGAATGAATGATGTTTATTATGAAGTTTGTATAAGACACACACACAAAAAAAAAAAAAAAAAAAAAAAAAAAGACTTTTATTCCTACAACGTACTGTTAATTCTGCAGCAAAGTACTATTAATTCCGCAGCAGTGGTTCGATTTGCATTACTATTTCATCAACTCCGCAGCAAAGTACTGTTAATTCGGCAATAATTTTCATCTACTCTATATCAAATAGTGTTTCATCCGTAGTACTAATATTTTACTATAAATTCACTTTAGTATGTGTATGATTTCATCTAATTTTCACCCTTTCATTCATTTTTCTGGATACCATCAAATTTTCACTCACAATGGGTTCCAGGCTGTGGAGCGTTGAGGAGATCGCACGTCTAACACGTGTGTATATTACTATGTACGAGAGTATCACTGTGAATGATCCAAGTTTTTCGACCCGTTTAACTTATACCTACAACGCTGATTCTCAATCCATTGCAGGAAACTATCGTAACATTGTTGCTGTCACAGCTAAATGGAATGAAGTAAAAACAGAAATTTTGTTATTCAACGATCTTTATAACAAAATTGATGATGAACGACTCAATGAAGATGAGGAAGTGATCTTGGAGGCGGCGAAAGAGGAATACAAATCCATTAGCGATGGGTTGGAATTCTAGTATGAAACCCCTTAGAATCTTATAATAGATCTCCCGTACTTTTAATGTTTATGTCGTACGTTATTTTAATGTAGTTGGTTTTTATTAGGTTATTTAGATGTATTTGGTTATTTTAAGGTTATTTATATGTACTGTTTTGTATAAGGTTATTTTTATGTAATTGGTTTTTATTAGGTTGTTTTTATTGTCTGCTAATACATAGAAACAGATACAAACACTTTATTCTAGAAACTACAAACACTACAAATACATTGAAATAGATAAGATAAAGAAGTAGCAAACATTATACATAAAATATTATAGTCTACATGAAATACTGGTTTTTCTCCACTACATTCCAAACGTCATCATATTCAATCTCACTTCCATCACGCTCCATCATGTAATGCTCTTTAACAACTTGTAAAAGGTCTTCATCGTCTGCGTAAAAATGTGGCATATTTTTAATATAATTATACCATTGATTAAACATTTATAAGTGAATAAAATAAAACTTTTATTTTTTTATAGTTTCAGCTCTTATTATTCATAAGTGAATAAAAATACATCAAAATTTCACTACAATACATTCGTTATTCACTTATGAATAAAAAGTTTGATTAATTTTTTTTAGAGTTTAAATATCTATCATATATAATATAACATATATAAACTCTTTACAGTTTACATCAGCTCTCGTCACATGTTATAATTACATATGATTAAAATATGTATTAGTCTTCCTCACAAGTTATATTCATATATGAAAAACACGTTTATCATAATTTTGTTACAGTTCATTTATTATTCATATATGAATAAATAACTCAAAATTTTAAAACACGCCGTCTTTTATTAATATACTACTTATTGTTATTCGAATAACAAATAAACAATAACAAAATTTTGATAAATTTTTTATTTATATATGAATATAACATATGACGACTATCAATACACATTTTATTCATATATAAATATAACGTGTGACGAAAGATTGATGTAAAAAATATATATATTAGGTAAAAAAGTTTTATTACGTGTTATATTTATATAAGAATTGATACTTAAATTGTAAAAAAATTAAGCATACGTTTTAGTTATAAATGAATAACGAATGTAATCTAATAAAACTAAAAATTAAGCATACGTTTTAGTTATAAATGAATAACTGAATCGATTTTTATTCACTTATGAATAGCGAAAACTAAAACTCTAAAAAAAATATTTTATCTTAAAAACTATATCAATATGGATGTCTATTTATAGAGAATATAAAATTATGAATTTTGATATATTTAAAACAATTTTTTTGATAAAAATAACTTTCTAAAAAAAAAAAAAAAAAAAAAAAAAAAAATGTTTTGTGTATATTAAGGTAATTATTAGCATATTTTGAGGAAACATGTTTTGTTGGAAAACACATGTGCATCCATTATCTATTTCCGTCGGTACGCTTAAGTGTTTTGCAGCGAAACAAATGTATGATTGTGAATGATTCCCTCATTCTCAATATTTTTTTTCTCAACAGAACCTCTCTCTCTCTCTCTCTCTCTATATATATATATATATATATATATATATATATATATATATATGTGTGTGTGTGTGTGTGTGTGTGTGTATATATATGTGTGACATCCCCAAAATCACGGCCAGAAAAGACCGGTTTTGTTTATACTTTATTTCAAAATCAGAGTTATCTTTTAATAAATGGTTTGCGGAATTTGTCCCAAAACAATAATATGATAAAGATTTATCAAAAGCATTTCCATAGAAATGTATTCATTAAAAGACTCGGGATGTCATGTTCGTACAGATCAAAAGTATAAACAGTACAATATAAGCCTTACTACATTATTTCATATCTACAGGTCTATATCCGTAATCCCTCGTCCAAAACATCACACCTATGCTCATGCGCCACTACCTGTAATACATAAAACTGAGTGGGTCAGGCTTGGGAGCCTGGTGAGCACATAGGGTTTTCAACCCACAATAAGTTTATTAATTTCATCAATCAACAATAACCCGATTACCCGTTCCCGTTATCCTCACTTTACGTCCCTAAACACCTATCATAAGGGACCTAGCCTAAGGATCATCATCGGGACGGACACTACTGCTAAGGGGATTCCTCAGCAATAAATGTCCTAATAGGCAACCATGTGGGGGATGGAGTACACCGGTGAACACATCGTTCACAACACCTACAGGTTGCGAGCCTGCTAGTGTTCCACTGGACTGTCTAGAAGAGTCCGTGGTCGTCATCTATACTCCGCTAGATGACTGGATCAACAACAACAACATCGAGGCCTCTCATCATTTTATCACACATCACCTATTACATCTACCCATGTTTTACCCCAACATTTTCGTAGATATAAAATACATATACAGTTTAAATCATTGAAAACATGTATAACAACGTTCATCTAGCATAGATAGCAAGTATTCAGATAATATGCACACATAGCACGTAATTTATATAAAATACTTCATATCTATGTGTAAGTTGAAGGTAACTATGCACTCACCGGAAAAGGTGGTGATTCCGAACTCAGACAGCGCTTCGCTTCTTAAAAAGAATTTTTCTTCGACGAAACCTAGTATTATTACCACTAGAGTTTAGTTTATTATTCGTCGAGACTAATTAATAGTCTAGCTATTATTATTATTATATAAGCGTCAAAAAAATACTTATATAACCCATAATAATAGCCCAAGTATTTATTATAAGTTCCTAATAACGTTACTATAATTAAATAAAAGTTATATTAAAAATAGCGTAGGCGTAGCTCACTTACAGCGGGTTTTATAGAAAACCGGGCTTTGCTTGGAGCAGCGTTCCCGAGCCGAAAAGCTCTTCTTCTCAGAGCCTTCGAGCACTCCGGGGCTTCCGCCTCGTGCTAGGGAGGTTCCCTAGGCTTTTCGGGGGATTTCGGGGCTAGAGAGAGGTTCTAGAGAGAGAGAGAGTAAAGAGAAGAAAGAATGGGAAAGGTGTGAAGAAAATGAGGGTGGGAGAGGTGGTATTTATAGGGTGAAATGTGGCTGAACTTGGTGCCACATGTCACCATCTGGTGGCAAGCCTTGGGGAGAAAGCAATGGCCAAGATTGTGCCACATCACCCATTTTCGCACAGCACACTTCCGACTTCTAAAATCCGTAACTTTCACATACGACCTCCGTTTTTGACGTTCTTTATATCCACGCGTAGGTAATAATAAGATCTACAACTTTCATTTTGACACCGTCAGCTAATTCTCGACCGATCTTAAATTTAACAGTACAAGGAGATTATACTGTTAAACGTCTGCGTAAAATTAATAACTTCTACATACGGACTCTGTTTTTGTCTGTCTTTTTACCGTTGATTTCCTATTAATGAGATCTTCAACTCTCATTTACGTTGCGTAAGCCAAAAACCGCTCGAACTAAAATTCGAGTTTCAGGCCGTGCACTGCTAAGCCGAATCTTAGAAAAATCATAACTTCTTCATACGAAGTCAGATTTGGGCGTTCTTTTTATCGATGTTCTTAGTTTAACATATTCTACGACTTTTGTTTAGATTGCTAAGGCTAAAAAGTCTTCTATCGTAAATTCACTATTTACGTCTCCCGGTGTCGTGCCGGTTTTGTCGTAAAACTTCGGCGGGCCATAACTTCTTCGTTATAGCTCGGATTTCGGCATTCTTTATATGCACGGAAACCTTGAGACATATTCTACAACTTTATGTAGAGATATCGGGATTATCTCACACTTTAATTTTGACGCTCATTTTTATTCTTTATTAATTATACATTTATAATTAAATAATAAACACATAAACACACATAATTCACATAATACTCAAATATTTCATATTTATTACTTCAAAAAGAGTTACAATAGTTGACCTAGACTATTACATTGACAAAAATGCTTAGCCCTGAAAACCCGGGCGTTACAATTCTCACCCCCTTAGGATGATTCCGTCCCGGAATCATGCATCAGCAAACAGATGTGGATAGCGACTCATCATGTCATCCTCTGTTTCCCAAGTGAGATTCGGCCCATTCGAATGTTTCCATCGGACTAGCACCAAGTCGACCATCTT